CTGGGCCTGGGCGCTGTCCCTCAGCTCTTCAGCTCAAGGCTAGCACTCTACCACTTGAGCCACAGCGCCACTTCCAGCTTTTTTTTTTATTTTTGCTTATGTGGTGCTGAGGAATCGAACCCTGGGGCTCATGCATGCAAGGCAAGCGCTTTACCACTGAGCCACCTTCCCATCACTCCTTCAGGAGTGTTTTAAGTTAAAAAATATTTACTAGGTATTCCTGCTGTTTTTTTTTTTTATGATTTTCTGGCGATTTGCAAGTGCAATGCAGAAGACAGTTTTTGTTGTTAATAGATAATTAATCAACATAATTATATACGTGTAAAGTTTTGGGTTCACAAAGGTGAGTTGCTGTTTATAGAAAGCTGATAAACGTGTCAAGTGCTATTTGCATTCATTGTTAGTGAGATGTATCAAATCACATTATTATAGAGCATATAGTGTGTATAGATCAATTAGTTATCTCTTGATTTTTAAAAAATTAACATCTGTTTTACCAAAGGGTTCATTATGCATATGATGCAATTTGGTCAGATCGATCACCTCCACTGTTCTCTACATGGCTGTTAATTTGTTTTTGTTTTGTTTTGTTTGCCAGTCCTGGGGCTTATACTCGGGGCTTGGGCACTGTCCCTGAGCTTTTTGCTCAAGGTTAGCACTCTACCACTTGAACCACGGCCCTACTTCTGGCTTTTTCTGTTTATGTGGGACTGAGGAATCGAACCCAGGGCTTCATGCATGCAAGGCAAGCACTCTACTGTTGAGCCATATTCCCAGCCCCGATTTTTTTTCTTTTTTTTTGTGCCAATCCTGGGGCTTGAACTCAGGTCTGGGTGCTGTCCCTGAGCTTTTTCGCTCAAGATTAGTGCTCTATCACTTGAGCCACACGTCTACTTCTGGCTTTTTGCTGGTTAATTGGAGATAAGAGTCTCACAGTGTTCCCTGCCCTGGCTGGCTTTGAACAGTGATCCTCAGATTTTAGGCTACTGAGTAGCTAGGATTGTAGGAATGAGCCACTGCCACTTGGCTCTTAATTTGGTTTTTGTTGTTGTTGTTGAATTTAGCTTTTTGCTTGCTAATTAGTTTCTCTGCCACTTGAGTCAAACCTCTAGACCTTTTTACTTTAGATTACTTTTCAGATAGAGTCTCACTATTTTGCTCAGGCTGGCTTGGCACTTTAATCAACCTACTTTTCCTCCTGTATAGCTGGGCTTACAGGACACCACCTTGTGTGCCTTGTTTGTTGTGCTATCTCACTATTTGCCTAAGCTAGCAATGAGCCTCAATTGTGGAATTATATATATATAGCTGGGATTATAGATACCATTAACCACACCTGACCTCTATGATTTGATTTAATAAATAATATATATCTTTTTTTTTTTTTTGCCAGTTCAGGGGCCTGGGCACTGTCCTTCAGCTTTCAGCTCAAGGCTAGTGCTCTACCACTTGAGCCATAGCACTACTTCCAGTTTTTTGAGTGGTTTATTGGAGATAAGAGGCTCATGTACTTTCTGCTAGGGCTGGCTTTGAACTGTGATCCTCAGATTTTAGCCTCCTGAGTAGCTAGGATTACAGGCATGAGACACTGACGCATGGTTGGAGAATTTTTAAATTCCACATAGGAAGCTAAAGTAGTTATACATTCTGTTTTTCTTCCCCAAGGATCCATAAGACTGGATGGAAGAAGGAAGGTGTAATACTTATTTAAGATGGAATTCTGGCAGAAAACCATTTGGAAAGCAAGCTTCTCTACATTTCCTTTTCTAAACAAATTATAGTAACATGCCATTCTACTGTCACATTAAAAAAAATCAGGATAATAATTTGTGTTCCATTCATGTTATACAGGGTGATTGGTCTACATCAGTTTTTAAGTCTAGCTCATTGTGAAGATTGACAAATACTAGCTATGTGATTGTGGGCACATTACTTCTCTAGCCTTAATTTGCCTCATCTTTAAATTGTACCTTACTAAAGTTATTCTATTAAAGTGTTAACCATTGCCAGGTGCTGGTGATTTACATCTGTAATCCTAGATACTCAGTAGGCTGAGATCTGAGGATCACAGTTTGAAGCTAGCTTGACTAGAAAAGTCCACAAGACTCTTATCTCCAATTGATCAGCAAAAAACAAGAAGTGGAGCTGTGGGTCAAGTATAGATTTACCAGCCTTGAACAAGAAAGTCAAGTGAAGCCAGGTGCTAGTGACTCACATCTGTAATCCTAGCTACTCAGGAAGCTGAGATCTGAGGATCACAGTTCAAAGCCAGCCCAACAGGCAAATTCATGAAACTCTTTAATTAAGCACAAAAAAGCCAGAAGTGGAGCTGTGACTGAAGTGGTAGAACTCTATCCTTGAACAAAGAAACTCAGGTATGTCACATAGGCCCTAAATTGAAGTCCCAGGATTGCCCCCCCCAAAAAAAAAGAAAATAAAAATACCAGTATTTATTTGAGTTCTTTAATTTTAAAAAGTTAAGGAAAAATCAGTAGTAACACAGTGCCAGGAAGACTGAGAATGTGGCTCAGTGGTAGAGTGCTTGCCTAGCATGCACGAAGCCCTGGGATTGATTCCTCAGTACCACATAAACAGGAAAAGCCAGCAGTTGCTCTGTGGTTCAAGTGCTAGCCTTGAGCAAAAGAAGCTCAGGGACAGTGCCCAGGCCCTGAGTTCAAGCCCCAGAACTGGCCAAAAAAAAAAAAAAATGCTGGGAATATCAAAATATAAGTTTTCTTAGGAAGCCAAAAGCTACTAAAACACGTATTTAACAGTAATAATGGAGTACCTTCTATGTTATCTCCCTATAAATTAGAGATTCTTTTTGTTTTTGTTTGTTTGGGTGCCAGTACTGGAGCTTGAACTCAGGATCTGTGTAGTGTTCCTTAGCTTTTTTTTGCTGAAGACTAGTGTTTTCTCCCACTTGAGCCTCAACTCCACTTTCGGCTTTTTGAGGTTAATTGGAGATAAGAATCTCTTGGACTTTCCTGTCTAAGGTGGCTTTGAATCTTTATCCTCTAATCTTAGCCTCTAGGGTAGATAGGATTACAGGTGTTGAGCTACTGAAATCTGGTTGAGTTTGTTTGTTTTGGTCATGGGGCTTGAACTGTGGATCTGGGCACTGTCCCTCAGCTCTTCAGCTCAAAGCTAATGCTCTACCACTTGATTCACAGCACCACTTCTGTTTTTCTGGTGGTTAATTGGAGATAAGAGTCTTTCAGACTTTCCTGCTGGCTTTGAACCTCAGTCCTCAGATCTTAGCTCCAGAGTAGCTAGGATTACAGGCATGAGCCACTTGTGCCTGGCCAGAGAGTTTTTTAAATGATAGAATCTTAATGGACAACACACATACAGAATTTGGTCATTAGTCATTTGTACTATGAGAAAACATATTACAAATTATGCTTTTCCAAACAGAAAACCCAAAACAAAAAGGGCCAAGCGATTCCTTGAGAAGAGAGAACCCAAGCTGAGTGAAAATATTAAAAATGCCATGCTGATTAAAGGGGGAAATGCCAATGCCATAGTGACACAAGTTCTCAAAGACATGGTATGTATGTCTACATTTCTTCCCAGGGAGTTAGGCCTGTCTCCCATATGTTCAATTTTGAAGTCGTATTGAAATGATTTTAGGGGGGGAGGAGAAGGATTGGGATTGGGGGGGGAGGGGGGAGGCTGGGAAGGGATGTGAAGGGTAAACAAAGGAGGAGGCTGCAATGCTTGGTAAGAAATGTATGCATTATCCTGCCCATGTAATTGTAACCCCTCTGTACAGTATATTCACAAATAAAATAAAATTAAATTAAAAAAAAAAGAAATGATTTTAGAAACTATGGGCATGCTAAGTTGGGCTAAGTAGGGTAAGTTTGCCTTAAGATTTACTGCTCTTAGAGAAAAGCTGACATTGGAAGTTGTCTTGGCAGAGCCTGACTACTGATTTTCTTTTTTGTCAGTTGTTGGGCTTGAACTTGTCCCTGAGCTTTTTCACTCAAGGCTAGTGCACAACCACTTTGAGTCACAGCTCTACCTTCTGTTTTCTGCTGGTTAATTAGAGATAGGAGTTTCAGAGACTTTCCTGTCCAAGCTGGCTTGGAACCATGATCTTCAGATCTTAGGCTCCTGAGTAGCTAGGATTACAGGCATGAGCCACTGGCACCTGACTCTGCTTTTCTTTAAAACAGCTAGTTGCTGTAGTAAATTTAAAACTGGCTTCAATTACTAGAGTTCACTTTACACATATTTTCAGAAACATTTAATATATAAAATGAGATAAATGCAGATTACTGTGTGTTTATTCATTTGGCACCACTGGTTAGTAGCCTACCTTCAGGGTCTTGCTGTGCAGCCCAGGCTGGCTTCAAACTCAAGATCCTTCTGCTTCAGCTTTCTAAGTGCCAACATACCCAGCCTGAGTGTGTTTTCAAGCTTGACTAAACTCCATATGTTAATTAAACATGAATCATTACAGACATGAGAATACCTACTATGTGTTTATCCTTTCTGAAATGTTTGATGTTATTGTGTTAGTGAGACCAGTTCCTCTCCTTCCCACATCCCGTCAACACAATGACCTTTTGTATTTAAGCTCTAAGAACAGCACAGTATTAAAGATTATTACAATAACACATTCATAATGACTCAAATTGGCAAGAAAACAGGTAAGCATTTGGCTAAGAATCATTAAAAGTTTTGGTACTTGAGATGATGGTACATACCTGTAATCTAGCACTTAAGTAAAAGCTGGAGGATTGAGAGTTCAAGGCCTAAAACATATATGTAGGCACACAAAGTAGGGAATCAAAATTTAAGATGTGTAGACGATTGAAAAATCATAAAAACCTTTAATTAGGAATATCCTGTCTAAGTTAGAACATTAAGCTTATAAGATATTGTAAATAATCAAAAGACAGTCTTGTAGAAGACAGGATAGGATTCAGGAACCAGAGCAGTTTCAGGATGAATGTTGTGATGCTTTATTTTAATCTCTGTTTTGTAGAATTTTTTAATTAATTTTTTTTTTCAGTATGCACTGAAAAAACCATATGGTGTTCTATATAAAAAGTAAGTAATGATTTTTATTCTTATTTTATCTTAAATCTTTTGGTCTAATTAGAAAAGTAACAATTTTCACTAATTTTACAATAAAAAAATTTAAAAAAAAAGTAACAATTGCTTCATGACATAGAAAAAATACCTTTTTTTTTTCTTTTGCTGGTCTTGTGATTTAAACAGTACCTGGGTACTGTCCCTGATCTTTTTTTTTTTTTTTGGGTCCGGTTGTGGGGCCTGACTCTGGGCCTGGGTGCTGTCCCTCAGCTTTTCAGCTCAAGGCTAGTGCTCTACCACTTAAGCCACAGTGCCACTTCCAGCTTTTTTCTTTTTGCTTATATGGTGCTGAGGAATCGAACCCAGGGCCTCATGCATGCAAGGCAAGCGCTCTACCACTGAGCCACCTTCCCAGCCCCTGTCCCTGATCATTTTTGCTCAAGAATGTTGCTCTACTATTTGAGCCACAGTCCCACTTACATCTTTTTTAGTAGTTCTTTTTTTTTTTCCAGTTCTGGAGCTTGAACTCAGGGCCTGGGCACTGTCCCTGAGCTGCTGCTTTTGCTCAAGGCTAGCACTCTACCACTTGAGCCACAGCACCACTTCTAGCCTTTTCTGTTTATATGGCACTGAGGAATTGAACCCAGGGCTTCATGCATGCTAGGCAAGCACTCTACCACTAAGACACATTCCCAGTCCTTTAGTAGTTCTTTGAAAATAAAGAGTCTCATGAACTTCCCTGCCTGGGCTGGGAAGTTCAAAACCTCGATCCTCAGATCTCAGCCTCCTGAGTTATTAGAATTACAGGCATAAGCCAGCAGTGCCTGGCCTATTGCCCTTAAAAAATTATTTTTATTAAGTTGTTGTACAAAGGGGTTCAGTTCCAGAAAGAAGTCAGGTTATGGGTACATTGCATTTATATCACCCCTTCCATTGTTCTCCCCCCTCTTTGCCATCTCATCTGTACCCTCAATTAGTTTTTATATAATGTACAATGAAAATAAGAACTGCACTTGCTTACCTTTCCTCCCTTCATAATTGACTCCCTCCCAACATACTTTAATTGGACCTCCCTCCCTCCCTCCCTCCCTTCCTTCCTCCTTCCCTCCCTCCCTTCCTTCCTCCTTCCTTCCCTCCTTCCCTTCCTTCCCCCTGATTCTGGGGCTTGAACTCCGGAGCTGTCCCTGTGCCTCTTTGTGCTCAAGGCTAGTGCTCTACCACTTGAGCCACAGCCCACTTTGCCCTTTTTCTGAGTTGTTTATTAGAGATGAGTCTCACAGACTTTTCTCCTTGGGCTGGCTCCAAATTGTGATCCACAGATCTCAGCCTCCTGAGAAGCTAGTATTGTAGGCATGAGCCACCAGCTTTGGTTGAATTTTGAAGGAAGTTTATATTTTCTATTTTTTCAGTGACTGTTATGTCAGTGTGGATTCAATATATTCTTCAGGCTTATAATCCAATTCTGTCATATTTATTTATTTTTGTTGGTCATGGGGCTTGAATTCTGGGCCTGGGTGCCGTCCCTCAGCTCTTAAGCTCAAGGATTACAGGCGTGAGCCACCGGCGCCCGGCTTTATTCTACCTTGTTAATGGTACAGTCCATTCTCATACAGCAGACAGATGCTTTAATAAGAACATTTCAGTCTTGTCCTGGAGGTAGTTTTTCTCATTCTTTCTTTTTTTTCTTCTTGTGTTTGGGCTTGAACTCAGGGCTCAGGTACTGTCCCCGAGCCTTTTTGCTCAAGGCTAACACTCTGCCACTGTAGTCTCTATTTCCAGCTTCTTGTTGGTTAATTGAAGATAAGAGTCTCACAGACTTTCCTGGCTGGCTTTGAACTATAATCCTCAGATCTCAACCTTCTGAGTAGCTGGATTACAGGTGTGAGCCTTGGTTCTAGGCCTGCCTACCTGCCTTCTTCCCTCCCCCCCTTTCTTTCTCATTTATTGTTATTATAACTGAGGAATTAACAATTTCATTAGTTAGGTATTGAATACATTTCTTTTTTTGAACAATGTCACCCCTTCCTTTTCTTTCCCTGTTTTCCCCTCCCATCTCTGTCCACAAGTTACATAGGTCATGTTCTATATAATGTATGCAGAGTAGCATGAATGCATTTGCTCACTCTCCTTCCTACCTTTCTGCACTCCTTCCCTACCCCTGGTGTCGAGGCATACATTTCTCATCTTGTCCAATAATGCTCTGTATTATCTGGGTGTCATACCTCCACACCATTTTTCCCTTTGCTTACTAAGTTCCACTGATAATTGCCTTCTGTCTGTTGCTTGAAAGTCCAAGTGTGTTTCTATCTCAGTCACTTTGCACTTTTTTCTTTTTGCAGTACTAGGCATGTAACTGATTAATCTGGTCTTAGCTCAGTCATTTTTCACTAACCGATTTTATTTTTACCATAATTACACTTTTTGCATTCTTTTATTTTCCCACTAGAATATAAGCTTTATAAAAGCAAGCGTGTTATTTGATGAAGCATCGCTAGCTCTTAAAATAGTGCCTAGCATGTAAAAGCACTAAATAACTGTACCTAACAATTAATGTCTTTTCAGGAGTTTAAAAATCACTTTAATATAAAGTTATCTTTTACTCAGCATCTTGCTTAATTAAACCTATCAAGATTATTAAAGTTGGAATCACTTATTTTATTATTGTTAGGAAAAACATTACAAGACCATTTGAGGATCAGACATCACTGGTAAGTACAAGTCTTTCCGATTTTTTTTTTTTTGGTATTGATACTGGAGCTTGAACTCAGGGACTTGTACTCTCCCTTAGCTTTTCACCCCAGGCAGGAATTCTACCACTTGAGCCATAACTCCACTTCTGGAAACTTGCTGGTTAATTGGAGATAGGACTCCCATAGACTTTTCTGCCCAGACTGGCTTCAAATCTTGATCCTCAGAACTTAGCATCCTCAGTAGTTAGGATAACATTCATGAGCCACCAGCGCTAGACCCTCATTGTATGTTAGCAAGTTTGAAATTTGAAAGAAAGCCTCTTTGAATAGTCTAAATAATAAGGGGAAAACTGAATTATTCTAGTGTGAAAACTGGAGCTGGAGGTATGGTTCAGAAGTAGAATGCTGGCCTAGTAAGTGTGGGGTGGGGTTGATTTCAAACCTCAATACTACCCCAAAGAATAGATATACATGTAAACATACTTATGTAATATTAGTATATATTGACATAATATATATTTAATAATATATTTATAATGTAGTTATATTGGCAGGGCTCAAGTGGTAGAGTTGTCCAGCATGTGCAATGATCTGAACTCAATCCTCAGCGCTGGGACAGACAGACAGATATTAGAAATATATATATATATATATTAAAGTACTTCTAGTCTCATTAAATTTAAAATTTATCCATATCTTTTTTTTTTGGTCTGGTCATGGGGGCCTGAATTCTGGGCCTGGGTGCTGTCCCTCAGCTCTTCAGCTCAAGGCCATCGCTCTACTACTTGAGCCACAGCGCCACTTCAGCTTTTTTCTTTTTGCTTATGTGGTGCTGAGGAATCGAACCCAGGGCCTCATGCATGCAAGGCAAGTGCTCTACCACTGAGCCACC